TTTATCACTTCACATGAAATTTGTTCCAATATATTGCTTAAACATGTCACAACGACAAACAAACAAATTCATAAAAACAAGTCAAATAAAAAACCCCCAAATTAAAAAGGAAAAATTGCTCCCATTAATCTGAACTTTGCCTCGTCCGCCGAAACTAATCCTAACTTTCGTTTATTATCTATTGCACCAAACTTTGGGGGGTATTAATTTTCGTTGCACCCAACAGGTCATCTAACCTGATGTAGCAAGTTACCTAGAGCCGTGTCAGCGTATGATTGGCTTACTTTTTTTTAAAAAAATTTAAAAAAAAATAAAAAATAAAACCACAAACCACACAAGCCCAGCGGCTGCCACCACACCCCCACCCCTACCACGCCGGAAAATCACTCCCACCCTCGAAAAACCCCTCCCCTGCTGCCGGAAACCGCCACCCAGCCTTCCCCCTACCTCGAAACCCACCCTTTCCCTTCCCCCACCCCCGAAAACCATTCCCCCACCCCCGAAAACCCCTCCCTCACTCCCGGAAACCGCCGCACAACCCTTCCCCTTCCCTCAAAAATCCCCCTTTCCCTTTCCCTTTCCCCACCCCCGAAAACCCCTCCCCCACCCCTATTTCCTCCGTCACTCCCCTCTCCCCGCCGTTTTCCGACCCGAATCCCCTTCCCCTTCCCCTTCGTTTTCGCCGTTTCCCCCTCCCCGTCGTTTCCGCCCCCTTCCCCTTTGTTTCCGACCCAAATCTGGCCTCCCTTCCTATATCCTCCCCCACTGCCATTAACGGTGTCTGCCGTTAAGGGGTGGCTGGCGTTAAGGGAGGCTGGGTTTTTTTTAATTTTTTTTTAATTTTGTTTTTTTTAAAATTTTGTTTTTTTTTTATTTTTTTTAATTTTTTTTTATAAAAATTTTATTTATTTGACCATTCATGTAGTGACCCGTCTCCAAAAAAAATGCAACACACAAATGTTGACCGGATTAATCGGTTGCAGGTAAATTGGGTGCAACGAAAATTAATACCCCCCAAAGTTCGGTGCAATAGATAATAAACGGAAGTTGGGATTATTTTCGGCAGACGAGGCAAAATTCAGATTAATGGGAGAAATTTTTCCAATTAAAATTCGGGGTTTAATGGTTTGAAAATCACCAAAATTCAGCCAGGACTGAACGAATTATGGCAAATATGAATTAAGGACGTGATCTACTTCCTTTAGCTTTGAAAAACAAGAAAATCCGAGCTCTTTAGAGGGAGAAAGAAGCGACAATCGTGAAGGAAGAAGAGAGAAAGTGAAATGAAAAATCACCCTCAGCGATTCCGTTTTTGCTGACTTAAATGTCGCGAGCAACTGAATTAGTAGCGTGTGACAGACCAGCGCAGCTCAGAACGATGCGCGCGCCTGGCCTGCGCGACTTACTAATTTGCGCGCGGATACTGGCACTAAAATAACCGGTATCCAGATTTTGATCCGTTTGATCATCTTTTTCAACGATTTTTGCTCGTTATTAGACGTAATGGCACACAAATTATAAAAATCTTTTTTAAATTGCTTTTCATATTGTAATTTGTTTTCAACATTGTTAGTTTTTTGCATCATTCTTGCATGCACACCGTGCTTTGTACCTTCCCCAAGCATACATTTTGAATGTTTTTCGTAAGAGTGCCTTAAGACGTTCCATGGTGGCGCTTTACGTAAAAGCACCCATACACTGGTTTGTCATTTTACTGTACTGACGTTACAAATGTCTGGGTTTTCTTCTTTTCTCACGTCCGAAGGAAAAAGGAAGGCATTTTCATGCAGCGTGAAAATGCAAATGGCGTATCATACGGCGCAAAATTTTACGGCGTAGGTGATGCGTAAAATTTCACTCAGCCCAAGCTTTGCGAGATCTACCTATCGGAACGAATAGGTAGAGAATTACTATAGGTGTTAGCTCAATGAGTCGACAGGCGCACCGAACCTTCAGAAACATGCTCTTCTTGAATGGGAGAAAATACGGTAGTTAGTGCGCTTACTAACTTACCGGACAGTTAGGGTGTCGAATCCACCCCCTGTATAAAGAAGCGACGAGACGATGTCGCACCTATGTAGTCACGTGCCCCCCAATCTTGGACACGTGTACTCATCTTGTGGATAAAACTGATGTGAGAGTTGCTGACTTTCTTCCCTCTCACTGAATTTGGATATATACCTCAAGTCCTGAGACATGTATTTCTCTCTGGTGGATGTCCGGCTCGAATATCGGACCTGGCTCAAATATCGGACCATTTCGGCTTGAATACCGAAAACCCCTTTTTCATCTTTTACTTTGTTAAACTCGGGCTAAAGTTTCAATGACATATCGAGGGACTTTAGACAAACGATGACACGATTCAGAGGAAATCCTCCCCTTTTATTCTTTTAAAACCGATCTCTTCTCATGACCTGACATCACCCAGAATACTTTTACTTGTAAGAGCATTCTACAATTGCAAAGGATCAATCTAGATTATTAAGCACGTTAAGACTAGAAAGGACTTTTTCTAGCCTTAATAGCTAATTGTTTTAAACACTTAGGAAGCCAAGGATTGTTTCGACATCCTTAAACATTACTTAAAGATTCTTTATCCTTAGAGAACTTCGCAGAATGAGTCTCGGATTTATTTCCTTGAATATTTTGATCATCATCTATTCTAGACTCCATCAAAAGGGGGCTTACTGTAAACATCTACTTTTAGCCTCCTGCCCCGACAGGAAGTGCAATGACGATAAATAAAGTCATCTTCGTGTTGGATCAAAGTGAAGAATACTTATGGATAACTGGTTAGGCCACAAAACACAAAAGATTAGCCCAAATTAAAGAAAATGCCAAAACAAAGGTCCAATTAACTAAACCCTATCATAATTAGGCTTAAGCCCGTGCTTAAACCCTAATAAGAAGGATTTAGGAGCGACTAGGTTAAAACTTAGTGCTGCCGCAGAAAAAGCCGCGCGCATCTCACAAAGTCATGCTGGGCTGCCGCGCGCAACTAATTTAGTTGCGCGCGACACCCAGCGCAACTTTCAAAGTTGTGCAGTAGAAGATTTGTAATTAATCGGAAATATATGGAAAATATAAAATCGAATCTAACCATAAAGCCGCGCACAAGACAAAAAGCTGCGCTGCACGTAGCAGCACAACTCTATAACTTGCGCTGGGATGCCTCGCGCAACTTCATCAGTTACGCGCGACACGTGCTGCGGAAGATTGCTCGAAACCCTAAACCTAATCCTTCTCTATAAATACGAGCTTAAACCGAGGCTTCAATAGACAGATATTAACCTAAAAACTCTGGCGAAAAAACTTGTGAACTTGTGCAACCTAGCCCTCTTGTCCTAAACACTCACCCTTTCGATACTTTGTTACTACGGTGGAGGTTCCCCAACAAGAAGGTGTCCATAAGTGTTCTAAACGGAGATCTATCAAAGAGTAGTGGTAAATTCCCGAGCACTTAGTTAAATCACCTTTATTTTTCTTGTTTAAAAGGACTTTAATTAATTAATTAGTGTTTTTTTTATCACTTTAAAAATAAATAATTAATTAATTCCACGTAGTATCTTGCGTTAAATAAAGACTAGAATTGAATTAAATAATTGTTGGTTGATCACTTAAGCCAAGGCGAATCTTGTTTATTTATTGTTCTTTCACGAATATTATTAAATAAGAATAACGACTTTTGCAATGTAATTCCTACATGAATTAATGCTTGTAAATAAAATCAACTAACATATTTTTAGGTACCGCGTTGCATATATTGTTTGGTGATGAAATTGTGAATAAGGAAGAGCTAGTAGAGGCCGTACTGGACTAAGATGACGATTACCCTCTAAAAGGAACGTTATCTTAGTACTCTCTCTCCAGAACTCATTTCTGGTTTATAGACCAATTTGGGCATGGGTAAACTTATGATTTGTGTTAATTATTCAATGAACTCCACATGGAAGAAAGGCATGAACGAGGTTTATGAGTTTTTCCTAAAACTCATTGGCGACTCCTACTTATTTCTTATAAAAAAGCTTGATGATGGAATCAATTCAAATTCATGTTCTCCAAACAGTCAGGAATTCAAATCCTAATATACCCTAACAAGTGTTGTCTTAGGATTTTAAGCGGCCAAGGGCATTTAAGGAGAGTACCCCTTACGATGGGAACACCCTCCTTACAATGACGCCGATTAAAAGTCGGGGCGTTACAGTTTGGTATCAAAGCGGAACTCTGCCAGAAGTGTGGGTCGTAGACTTGTATCGCCAGAGTATGATCTTTGGGAAATGAAAGGTAATCTTTTGGTGATTGAAGAATATCTTTGAGCAGTGGAAATAATTTGAGGTTATAATATATAGGACATGGAAGAATATTTTAGTGATATTAATATGATTTGAGGTTAAGAACTTTGGGATATTAAATTGATTTGAGGTTTGAGTATCATTCTTTTTATTAGATTTAAGTTAGAGGATGTGATTCATAAGAAACGTTGTAAGTTGATTTTGAGGTATTAGTGGTTATAATGATTGTAACTTATGAGGTACCAAGTTTCGAGGAAGAAACTTTTTGTATGGGGGTAAGGATGTAATACCCGAGATTTTAAAACTTGATTTATTAAACTCTAATTCTATATTATTAGCTTAGTTGATTTTTAATAACTATTTATTCAATTCTAATGTTTTAGCCTTCAATTTTATTATAAGATTAGATCATTTCGGAAGTTAATTTTACGAAAGGAACGTTACTTATTTTAAAATGTCTTTCGGGTCAAGTAATATTTTATGTTCGGTCAAATATTTAAATATTTGGATTTTGTATTACTACCCGAGAGAGTGAAATTACCAAAATGCCCTTTGCATCGAAAAAGGACAAAATCCACCGCTTCCTTGTTCTTTCTTTACGGTTAAGCATTGGAAGTCAAAATTTGCTTCTTTCTCATTGGATGTTCAATTGTTTCACTTATCATCACAACAAAGTTAGGTGATCAGCTTAAATTTCATACTTATCAAATTAATATAGTAATCTTGATCTTTACTCTTCCTTCTCTTAAAAGTTTCTCGTAACAAGTTATTAACACCCATAAGTTTGACTGCTAAAGAGACACCACTACTGCCACAATCACCGTACCTTTTCCCTGCTCCATGCCGTTGTTGCCATCCTTCTTATTACCGTCGACCAAGCTCATGCACCGCAGCCACGCACTCTTCTTCATCCTCCATTTGTGTCATGTTTGGTTAAACTGAGAATAGTCTTTGAGACTACTCTGTACACATGAAACCAAAGTGAGCTTATTTTGTTTGCTCTTATTTTGATTATAAGTTTATCCTTTATTTGAGATACAAACTCTTTACTTTCTTTGAAAACGATTATTTAGATATTTTGATGATAAGAAAACAATGCTAAAATATAGTATTATCTTGCTATCTAAGTTATATGTTTGTTCTTATTTTACTCTTAAAAGTGTAGTGTTTGTTTAAATTCTAATATTATTTTGCACAAGGAATTGATGATTATGTACTTGTTACATTCCACTTCCTAAAAATGAGTTTTTATACTAGAGAAATTTAAGAGTTCTCTAAATTAAAGTTTTTATAGTAATATTTTCTACTAATATGAATAGTGGTAGCATATATTTTTAAAGTAATGCTCATTTTACTCAAATGAGGTAATACTTGTTTTGTTTCTAAAAATAAGTTTATACTTGTTCTATCAAAGGTTTTGAATTGAGAGGTTACTAATGAATTTTTATTATTATTAGGTATGATCGAATGAGTGATGGAGATTGAGAGTTCGAATGATGATTATTGGAGAATAAGCTAAGTGAGATGATTAAGTATGTTCTAATCAGGTAACCATTATGTCTAGCAATTGTGTTCTCTCCCATATATGTGAAGGAATTATGTCTTCGTCATGTGCAATTACTAGATATATAATTGGATTAAATTATGGAGATAATTAAGTTCTTACATTTGGGTCGTCGTTTTGCCATAGCTAGAGGTACTAACGATATTTGGACTAGTAAAATAGCCCAAAGCCCGATCGGACGGATCCTATAAGGTCACCTAAAGGGGCTAGATCGAGCAATAGAGGACGAGGCCCATCATGGGCCTCATCACTCTTGATGGTCGGCCATATGGAGGATTAGAAGTGGTTTTGGGCTTCGTGCCCTAGTCTAATTATAATGAGATTATAAATAGACTAGGTGCCTAGGTTTGCAAGTAGAGTAAGCAATTATCTGATCAGATTGATCAAACCCTAATTAGCAAACAAAAAACCCAACCCCTTTCAAAGTTCTCTCTCTCACACGACTCTCTCCTCCTCCTCACGCCGGTGGTGGTTCGTGATGGTGGTGGTGGTTCGTGCGGTGGTCGGTTGTCCGTAAAGGTGGTGATCGCGGTTTTCCTCAATCACTCGACCAATCTAGTATTGGTGGACGGCTCGTTCGAATCTCATGGACTAAGTAGAGGAGCAACGCTTGGGGCTCTATTCTCACCCTGATTTTCCGGTCGAATAGCTTCGTGGAATTCATGCGTCAAAGGTATGATTATGTGTCTTGTGTATTATGCTTGTGATCTTGGGATTGGTACATGATTGAATATGATTCATATTATTTCCGCTGCGTAGAACCTATAAACTCCTACAGTGGTATCAGATAGCCTCTTGCATGAACGCGCTAGATCATAATAATACGATTATTTGATGTCCATGTTAATTTTATAATCAATTAAGAGGGAGAAATTAATTTAATTATGGTTCAATTATTATATTTAATGTGATTAAACTTTTGGAATCAATTAAATGTCATTTAATTATTCTCAAATAGCCATGAAGATGACCGAATTTTAGCCCTAATATGTTCGAATTTCTCAAACCCCCTAACCCTATTTTTCGAATTTTTCGAAAATACTAGCCCTAAGATATGATTTTTATGCTTGATTTTGATTTAATTCAATTCATTTTATTATTCATAATTTTAATCGTATTGATTTATGCATAAAAGTGTTTTGTGTATGATCATCGATTTAATTTTAAAAGTTAGAATTAAATTGGGATTAATTTTATGAAGAACCCTAATTTTAAGATTGAATGTTGATTTAATTTTAATTTTTGGACTGATTTAATTTAATTTTGATAAAAGTTATTTAAATTAAATTAAAACACACAAAAAAATATATTTTGAGGCGGCAGCCACGGCTGGGTGGAAAAGCCACGGTGGCTGCCGCCGTTGCTGGTCCAAGAGGGAAGGGAAGAGGAGGGCGGAGGTCGGAGGGTGGCTGTGGGCAGCAGCGTGCAAGCATTGCACGGCTGCTGCCACGGCTGCAAGAGCTGCTGCCTTGCGGCAGTGGCTGCTGTTGTGGCAGCCAGCCACCGTGGCTAGCTTCGGCTAGCCAACCACGGTGACCATCGGTGGTGGCTTGCAGTTTTTCAAAAAAAAAATTTAATTATCTTGTTTGAAAAATTATTTTAAGATAATTAAGAAGTATTTTGGGATAAAATCAATTTTATTTTGGATAAGTTAAATTATTTTAAAAATATGATCTTTTATTTTAAAATGATAAAATTGGTTTTATTTGGATAAAATCTTTTATTTTGGGATAAAATCAAATATTCAAAAGTTGTTATATTTGATATTATCCATATTTAAAGTTGTTAAATTGGTAATTATCCTAATTAAAGTGGTTAATTTTGGATAAGATTGATTAGGATATTCTGAGCAATTCCAAAAGGATAATAATTGATTTAAATAATGTGATTTTCCCATAATTAGATTAGGATATAATTGATTTTAAAATTATTTGACTGGCTAGTAATTAGGATAGAATCTCCTAAATTTGTTAGGATAATCATGGAAGACTAAATATGATTTATTTTTCTAGATTAAAATATGATTTCATTCTATCTCATGACTAAATTAAATATATGATATTTTATAAACGGTCATGAATAGTATATGATATTATTTAATTATGATTAAAATATAAGATATTTTAGGAAATGCGTTGACTTTATTACTAACATTCGATTTAGTAGTTTAGACAAGCATGTTGAGTGATTTATTATATGACACTTTTATAATGTATGATATTATGTTGTTGTATATAGACTAGTATGGCCTTTAGATTCTTCAAAACGATGCGCATCGTGATGTATTTTTGTAATCTAAATACGGTATGCGTACCGTTAAGTATTTTTGTAACTTTTATTTAAAGTAAATAGAATAGTTATTTAAATAGTGTTAGTTCAAAGAAGCCCATAAAGTGAAGGCCCAAAGGAGCAAGGTGGATGGAGATCCATGATGATTCAAGTGGGAGCATTTTCATTTCTAGTTTTCTTAGGACTAAGGGGTCATACTAAGTCATGATTTATTTTATTGCATTAGTAGATTATGCATGTTAGATTTTATTTATGTTGATTGATGATGCGCTAGATTTCACTAAATAATCACAACATAATAAATCTAGGTCCCAGTAATATTGAGATTGCTTTTCCAATTAAAAACCCGATGAAACCTTTGATATTTATGATGGGTCATGCCAAAGCTGGGTGTCATATTATATCTTAGGGGAGTGGGGGTAAAACAAATTTTACACTTTTAATTGGTTTTGCTCAACAAGGTTACCTAAAGAGTTTAGAACCTTGAAGAAAAGGGAAATAATTAAACATGTGATGATTAATTATTCAACCAAGAGTTACATGAGTTGTAATCAGTAAAGAGTTTACTCACCTTGAAAATGTAATGGTTGATGGTAGGCCAAAGTCCGGTCAATTATTGCACGAATAAAGGATCTTGGAATCACTTAAAATTCAATTGGGGTCATTTAAATATTGAATAAAGTGTTTTAAAGTTACCAAATGAATGCGTTTATGGTACTTTAATTTTAATTAAACATAATTATTAAACTTTGCCTTATTTTGACGTAGATGGGTAGTCGTAAACACAATGACAACAACGTTTACAATCTTCGACCATTCCTTGAGATGGATAGGTTGACAGGGGATAACTTTTCCAACTAGCAAAGAATGCTAAGGCTTGTTCTGAAATCTAAAGCTAGAGAGGATGTCATTGACACCCCATTGTCAGGACCTCTGCTAGAAAATCCAACTGCGGCAGAGATCAAGAAGCAAAAGGAAGCTCATGACACTTCCTTAATGATTGCTACCATGGAGCCTAGTCTTCAAAAGCATTTTGAGGACTAGGATGCTTACTCAATCATGCAAGAACTCAAAGCCTTGTTTAAGAAACAAGCTAGAGTTGAAAGGTATGAGCTCCATCGTGAGATTCTGGATTGTAGGATGGAGAAGGGCACCACAGTTCATGATCATGTTTTCAAAATGATTGGCCTAATTAAAATTATGGAGAAACTGGGGCACCCATACAGTGATGATTTGGCAACAAACATCATTCTCCATTCACTACCAGAAAGTTTCACTACTACATAAACGAGCAAATGCAACCCCTAAAAACCGTTATAATAAGGCCAAAAACCGTTGAAATAGACCTACTGCAACGGTTAGAGGATCGTTGCATTTGCGGCCATTGCACTAGGTGTAATGCAACAGCTAATGCAACGATTCTATACCATCAACCATGAATCGTTGCATGAGAACCTAATGCAACGGTCCATGTAACCTAATGCAATGGCTCTTTCAAACTCCTATAGACCGTTGCAACAGATCTAATGCATTGGTCTTTTAGTTCTAGCGCAACACCCATAACATCCTTTAGAACCGTTGCATCATCATCATCATTATTATTATTATTTTATTTGTTGATTTTCGCTAAAATTGATAAGAAACCAATATATAAACATAAACTTAGATATTTATATTAATAAATGCTTGTTATATTACATTTTCATCCAAAAAAACATTATTACAATGAGTCAATGAGTAAAGTAGGAGCATCTCAATTACAGAACAGTAGCAACATCGAAGCTGACCAACAACAACATAGAAGCACGAGCAGCAGCATCAATGAGGGCAAATTTTCATGGTAACAATCTTCCTCATCCTTGTATCATACATGTTTCTCAAGGCATTGGTCAACTCATGAATTGGTGTTCTTCTTGTTCACCTTGTTTTAACTGCAGCAGTTGATAGTCTCAAATGCTTGCCTTTCCTGCTGGTTAAGGGACGGGAAATTTGGGATGTTCGCAAAGGGGAGGATCGTGGCTTGAGCTGATCTATAGTTGATCCTGCTGAGAATGTGATCGGGATAAGATTGGTCGTTAAGCTACTACCCTAACAAAATTAATCATTTATAATACCTAAACCTACACTAAACTAGTTAGTGGCAAGTAAAGGGTCGAACCACTAGGGAATCACGCTAATTCAACATCAAATATCACTAGTGCAAGAGTGAAAGGGGGATTGTTTTTGTTGGTTTTGTTGAGTAAGAATACTAAAACTACAAATAAACAAGAAGATGATATCTAAAATCAATAGAAAATGACGCTAGGGGTGTATCCAATATGATTAGAAAGAGGAGAATAATGGTGATTATCATGAAACATATGCCAAAGAACACAAGATGCTACCAAAACAATTCATTCTCATGCAATAGTCTAGGCAAATCAATGAAAGAGGTCTACACTAATAAGGATCATTCTCATGCATCCTATTAGTTACAATAAAATCAAGAGAATAAAGAAGCATAATCCATAAATACACCACATTAATAACTCATTCCCATGCAATCATTAAAATAGAGGTGATCCTAATCTAGTTCAAATCACTTTTATGCATTTAAACTAGAAAACATCAAATAGAGTGCAACAATAATCCCAAGTAATAAAAATCATGTCTTTCATCAATATATGGCATAAGTTCAATCCAACCATCATCATTCATCCAATATCAAATCATATCTACCACCCCCTTCCCCTAACCAAAAGTTTAGCTTAGAGAAGGGAGATTAAACACAATATCAAAACTAGAAATAAACTCAAGAAACTCAAAGCAAAACATAATTTAAATCAATTAAATCAATAACAACTAGATGAACTAATAATATTAACAAGAATAAGCAACAATAAAACAAATAAATAAAAATAAAGGAAAGGAGAAGAGATTACTAAAGAAAGGATTAATGAAAGATGAAAACTTTAATTCTTGCTTAATTTAAACTTAAACTTGAGCAAAGTTAAATCTTTGAAGAAAATTGAGCGATAATCTATTTTTCTCTCTCTAAAAATTATCTACTCTCACCCTAAGAGAGAGAAGCTCTCCTAAACTAGGAAGAAGATCTAAAATATCAAGTTCTCCCGTACAAAAACAAGGCTCGCAAATATAAAGGAAGTTGCGAAAAAACGCTGAACAGGGCTCGCTGTGCGCCCGCACATGGCAGTTGTGCGCCCACGCAAGGCATATGTGTGCCCGAGCAGTGGGCTGTGCGCCCACGCATTCGTGGGTTGCGCGGCTTGCTGCTTGGGTGTGTGCGCCCGTGCTGCAGTTGTGCGCCCACGCAAGGCACCTGTGCGCCCGCGCATTAGTTTGTGCACCCGTACACATCAGCCGCGCGCCCGTACACATTGTGCGCGCCCTTGCACCTTGCTTTCTTCAATTTTTCCCTCATGCTTCCTTTGGTTCTTCTATGCAATCCAAGACTTCAAATACCTAAGCACAAACAACAAGGGAAGCAATAAGGTATAGGGAACGGTGCAAACACGCAATTAAGGCAAGCATTCAAGAATTTACGCGATTTCATTAAAAACACATTGAGACATGTATGCACGCGTTATTTGAACAAAACAACTACAAAACACCCTAAGACAAGCTAAAATAAGGCATAAACACTATCCTAGGAGTGACATAAATGTCACTTGCAAATTCCCCCAAGCTAAACCTTTGCTCGTCCTCGAGCAAGACAAAGAGAAAGGGAGAGGATTATTCAAGCAAAGCTAAGACACTAAAGGAGACAAGAATGTACACTAACTCACTTTCGTAGGAATCACGGTCAATTTTAGCAACTAAAGACAAGCCCTTTAAACCCCTAGATCGCCCTAGAGGACGAGTATGCTCTCGTAAGGGTTTCCTAAGAGCTTAACCCACAACTCTAGACAAAAACCAAGGCAAAACAAAAAGAAAAAAAAAAAAGCAAACACAAAAAACAAACACAACCATGACCAACATAACATGGCAAGGTTTAGGAAACCAATCAAGCTCAAAGATGGAAAATACTCCATTTGGACTCAAAAAGAAGAGACATGCACCAAAGAATACTCACCTTTCTCAATACAATGAGGGAAAACACGCTCTAAGATGCTCATGGTTGAGAGAGACAAACCTAAGCTAAGCATAGACAAAACTAGAGAATTCATTCTCCGCCCTAGCCCCATCTAAGACAGTCCACGTTCTCTCCACTAGCTTCAAATCATCCCCTAGTTAGTTCCTCATGATTCCACGAAGGAACCGGAAAAAGATTCAATTTGTGGAATTAGTGGGTCATCCTGACATCTCAACTATGCATACTCTCTCCATAGGGTTGAAATCTATCTCCCTCCACCGGAAGTTGACCTCACCCCTCTAAAATCTAAGGGTCTTAACTAGGGTTGTAACGTAAGGCAAAGGGTTAAGGCGGGGTAAAAATTTGAAAATTTTGGTGACATTTCCTAAGTGAAGCAAAAGGGTGATCAAACCTCAAAAACAAACTCAAGAAATCACCAAACATCAAACAAAAATACCAATAATGTCATCTCCCCCAAGCTTACTCAACACCAACATTCCAAAAAAAAGAAAACGAAGTAACGCCCCCCCCAAGCTTGAACGAAGCATTGTCCTAAATGCTTAACTTAGGGAAGAAAACGAAACGTACTTTTTATTTTATATATATATATATCCTTGCCATTTTTAATTAAGGACGGCTTTTTCGGGGATGCATTTGCTTTATTACACACAATATATACAGTTTACTTTCTTGCTTGGTACAAAGAGCATAATACTTTCTCATTTTCATTACAACACAAAACAAACTCTCAAACCGAAATGCTTCACAATCTAAGGGTTAGGAAAACAAAAGGTCATAAGGCTTTCATTATGGCTCATAATCAAGAAAGGGAATAGGCTCAAAGGGTTAGCAAGAGGAGCAAATGCAAAATAAAAACAAAATATGTAACAAAACAAAAAGAAGATAAAGAAAAATAAGAAAAGGGTGCCCTTTTCCTCCCCTAGAGCTGCTTGGTCACGATCTTGGGAGTTAGAGGACAACACAAGGATTAAGATATGCATAGTCAAGGATCCTAAGCGCCGCTCAAAAATTTGATGGAGGCTTGAACAATTTCAATCTCATAAGGGATGGGAAGTAAGCAAATACTAACTAAAGAGTTTCAAATCCACTATAGAGAGCAACACCATCTTACCACTTTTCTGTGAACTAAGGGTTCAAACATCCTCAATAGTTCTTAACCTTGCTACCTTAGCTTAAAATTTGTCTATCTCAACCATAAGCCTCTCAAACCATGTAGGTCATCATCAATTAGGAAGAAAAACATTCTTTAGCACATTATCAAAGCAATCAATTCCAAATGCATGAGCGAATTCCAAAAAAAATTCATTTAATCTTGCCATAGTCATGTTTTCCACACAAAAAAAGAAAACAAAACAAAACAAAGAGGAAGAAATAAAAAAGGTTCACAAACAAGGCATATAAACCAAATAAGTCCCAATCGTCAAACAATTGATCGTTCGATAACAACATCAACGACCCCAAGTTCCATAGAACCAATGCAAACAACCTCGAACCATTCAACTTCTTCCTAAACTAAGCACTCAAAGAAAGAGTAAAAGAGTAAAAATAAGAAAGGTCTCACCGGGAGGTTAGCTTAAAAGAATTAAGGAGCATAAAATAGAGTTCACCAAATAGTGTCTTTATAGAAAGAATGTCTTCCTATAAAGCAAAGTGGGAGTAAAGTTAGATCTCGATGAGATTCGAGACGAGCAACAGATGGATGTAGATAACACTACATCAGAGACGAATGCGCGTGAAATCAGATAATTTGATAAAACATGTGTCGAAGCAAGCTAATTCAACTAGCGAGACTTCTATCGTCCTACTTGAATGAAAGGCTTCAAAGAGTTGAAGAGAATAATTCTATTGTTGCTCATACCTATCGCAGGTTACTTGGGATCAAAACAAACAGTTTGTTGAAGTTCTAAGAAAAGGTGGATTCTAAAATATTCTTATTAGAACGGCTAGAATCCATGCCTTACAAGCAAGCTTTGGATAAGTGCCAACTCAAGAAATGGCTTAAAGCCATAAAATCCAGTATGGACTCCATGTTTGTAAAGATGTGTTAGTCCATAATAGTCTTACAAATAGGGTCAAACCTATTAGTTGGGTAAGTCTATTCGGATTATTCTAGTTATGGATATCAAAATCACCTTCTTGAAACGTTCTTGGTGGTGAACATGTATATGATACAACCTATGTGTTTGAAATCCAGAAATTCCTAGAAAGTTTTGCAAACTTCATAAATTCATTTATGTATTGAAGTAAGCATCAAGGAGTTGGAACATTCGTTTTGATTAAGCAATCAAACAGTTTGATTTCCTTAATAGAAAGAAAAGGGAATCTTGTAGAGACAAGAAGTTTAGTGGGAGTAATTGGTCTTCTTATTCTAGTATGTAGTTGACATACACATGAAATGATATATCAATGCTTGAATAAGTCAAGCAGTGGTTAGAACGATTGTTTCTATATGAAATACTTAGGAGATGTTGAGTACATATTGGGAATGAATCGAGAGACTTATGTTGATAAGGATCTTGACAAGTTCATGAAGCAAGACTCTAAGAGAGGATGTCTTCCCATGTTTCATGGTATTACACTCAGTAAGACTCAATGCCTTCAAAAGCTAATAGTGTTGAGTTGTATGGATAGTGTACCTTATGCTTCTACAAAAGGATTCATTACATGCGCCATAAAATGTACAAAGCAAGATGTTGCATATGACTTGTGCATGTGTAGCATGTTTCAAGCAAAATCAGAATAAGAATACGGAGAATTACCAAGAACAGATCCTTGAGTACTTGAGAAGCACAAAAAGGAATTATTCTAGCTATTATGGTAAAAGGTAATTTAAGCAAGTTGTCAAAAAGTTACACAAATGCAAGTTTTCTAAACAGGCAAGATGATTCTAGATGGGGATCTAAATGCATATTTGTGTTCGGATGGAGAAGGACGGTGAGCTTGAAGAGTTCAAAGCAGAACACAGTTGCATACTCAATGTCAGAATATGTGTATTAAACTATGGTGAAATAGTTAGAGAGGAAGTTTGGATTAAAATGTCATGTGACTAA